TTCTTTTTTTTGAACATAGGGGTATCTACAGACAGTGTCAGAGAGAGGGAAAGTGAGAAATCACCCTCCTGGAGGGATGGCCACGCCTCAATCCCTTCTCCTCCATTCTCTCTTGAGATTTTGGGCACACACATATATGGGGCCAGGATGATTTTCAAGCCACTAGGTCTAGAACTCAAACTACAATTGGCCATGTGGAGTCTGACACTTAAACTACCATACCACCTGCTAGCCCCAACCAATAAACTTTTATAAGAAGGACACTGGGAACACAGCTGTGATATCTATACCAAATAGACGCCCTCTTTCCTGTGCCCCGTGTCCACATGACGCATCTGTTCTGGAACTAAAGATCATTTTGTGGATACAATGAAGATACAGGAAGCAAGGCTAGAAACTGGGCTTACCTCACTTTAAGGGACAGTGTCCCATAAAATGATCAGGGCTGGTTCCATGGCCTGGTGATTAGGGTAGGCTAATGGCACAGTTCTAGTTCCAGCAGCTCAAGAAACACTCTAGGCACAAGTGCATACATGCCCAAAATCCCAATGGGAGGCAAAGATGAAAATAAATTGTGACAGGGACCAGCAGTTAGCATAATGGCTATGTTGCTGGACTTCCACGTAGTCAACCGTAGTTCGAGTCCTGGACCCGATGGCTTAAACTCACGCCAGGCGCTTGTACGTGCGTGCCCAAGATCCTGAGAGAATGGAGAAGAGATTGTGGCGTGGCCATCCCCCCTGGGGGGTGATTTCTCGCTTTCTGTCTCTCTGTCTCTCTCTTTCTGGCGAGTGCACACGCCCTATAGCAAAAAAAATAAAATAAATAAATAGTGACATAACCATTACCCATGGGGAGTGCTTCCTTCTCTGCTCCCCTCTCTCTAGCAAGCACACCCACACTCTGACCAAAAGAAAGTAAAAACGTAACATTAAGGGACCAGTTGATGGCATAATGATTACATCGCTGGACTTCCCCGGAGTCAATCACAATTTGAGTCCCGAACCAGGCAGCTTCAAACTCATGCCAGCAGTGTGTATATGTGTGCCCAAAATCCTGAGAGGAAAATGGAGAAGGGATTGTGGTGTGGCCATCCCCACTGGAGGATGATTTCTTGTGCTTTGTCTCTCTCTGTCTCTCCTGTGAGAGCACATGACCTATAGCAAAAATCACTCAAAGAAAGAAAAGAAACTATTTTTTTTTTTTGAGAGGTTTTCGCTATAGGGCGCGTGCGCTCGCCAGACAGACAGAGAGAGAGACATAGAGACAGAAAGCGAGAAATCACCCCCCAGGGGGGATGGTCAGGACCTGGCAGCTTCATTTCTCACTTTCTCACTTTCTCTCTCTCTGTGTCGCTTTCTGGTCAAATTAAAATAAATGAATGAATAAATAAAATTTAATAAATAAATAAATCTTTAAAAAAAAAAAAAAGTTAAATCACACCATTATCTTCAACCTTTGTCCAGACCTGAAGTCTTGACTTGCCTCCAGTCCAATACCTCCTCCAGTAATCACATTGTGGCAAACAGCTATACAATCAGCCAGTTTTCAGAGCTAGACAGCTGGAAATCATTCTGGAATCCAACCTCTCTCCCAAGAAACAGACCAAGTCCTATTGATTCTGCCTCAACATCTCTCCAATATGTGTGTTCTCTGCATCACCATCCTAATCCCAGTTATCCTCATCACTCACCAGGGCAACCAGTCTCCCTGCTTCTGCCCTTGCCAACTACAATCTATTTTCTACCTGATAGTCACAGTACTGTTAATAAAACACATATCCTCAGGACCAGCAGTTAGCGTAATGGCTACGTCACTGGATTCCCATGTAGTCGACCGTGGTTTGCGTCCTGGACCCAGTGGCTTAAAACTCAAGCCGGGTGCGTGTGCGTGCATGCCCAAGATCCCGAGAAGAGGATGGAGGAGAAGGGATTGTGGCGTGGCCATCCCCCCAGGGGGGTGATTTCTTGCTTTCTGTCTCTCTGTCTGTCTGGCGAGCGCACACGCCCTATAGCAAAAAACCTCAACAACAACCAAAAAAAAAAAAAAACCATATCCTCCCTCTTAAAAATCTCTCAATCATCAGTAAGGACACAGAAAAATCATTGCTACCGAGAATGTAAAAAAGTTTCAACCACTTTGGAAGAGTCACTACTCCTCAAAAAGTTAAACACAGAATAAGAGCCAGGCAGTGGTACAGCAGTAACACAACTGGACCTGAATGTGAAATGTTCTGGATTCATGCTCTAGGCCCTCCCTGAGCATGCTGGGTCCGTGCATGTGACTACAATCCAGACCTCTGAGAAGCAGAATGGATCACAGTGTGAAGACCCTATGGGAGGTGCCTCTCTCTCTGGGTATCTTTATCTCTGCCTCTTTTTCTGTTCTCATGGGAAGAAAGAAAGAAAGAAACTCTTAAAAAAAAAAAAAGAAAAGAAAAAAAGATTAAATACAGACCAGACCTGGCCCCAGCAATTTGAGGTATACAACCCCCCAAAAACAGAAATCCGGTATTAAAGCAAACTCTGTACATATTATTCACAGGGGCACTACTCGTAACAGCCAAAAGGAGTAAAGGACTTATGTGCTCCTCTATGGATAAACGAATAAACAAATGTGGTACATACATACACTGGACCATTAACCAGCCTTTAAAAGGAGTGAAGTACTGATAAATGTCACAACGTGGATAACCTGAAAAACATTATGCCAGGGGCTGGCAGGTGGCATGATTGTTAACTCCCACGTGGCCAATTGCAGTTCAAGTCCCAGACCTGGCAGCTTTCTTTCTTTCTTTCTTTCTCCCTCTCTCATCAAAAGTGAAAAATAATAATAAATTGAGTTAAATCATTAGTTTTTAAAAGAGGAAAACATGCCGAATGAAAGAAGGCAGATACAAAACACCACATATTATATGATTCAGTTCATATGAAAAATTCAAACAGGTAAATTCATAGAAACTGAATATGGAGTATTAGTTTCTGAAGTGCAAAGAATGGGCAATGGAGAGTAACCTGAAAGACACACGGGGTGCATATGCATGTATGCCCAAATTCCCAGAGAGAAAGAGAGAGAGAGAAGGGATTGGGGCATTACCATTCCGTCAGGGACTGCTTTCTCTTTCTCCCTCTTTCTCTCTGGTCTACACCTATATCCTCTAGCCACCCCCCCAAAAAAAAATTTTTTTTCTTTCTAATTAGAAGTTTATTTTTGGGGATCAGCAGATGATATAATGGTTACATCACTGGACTCTCACATAGTTGACCATGGTTTGAGTTCCAGACCCCCGATGACTTCAAACTCACACTGGGTCTACGTGCGTGCATGCCCAAGATCCCAAGAGAAGAAGGGAGAAGAGATTGCAGCGTGGCTATCTCCCCTGGGGGGGGGGTGATTTCTCATTTTCTGTCTCTATCTTTCTGTCTCTACAGCAACTATATGTACCTTATAGCAAAAATCTCCCCCAAAAAATCATTAATAAAGTATAAGATAAAATATTGCAATCAAGACACAAGCATATGAAACTGCTGGTGGTATAACATGACATAGTGGGCTTTTTATGGGCTTTGTAAAGTGTGTATTTGTGGGTGTGTTTTAATCTTTCCAGAGCATTCACTGGAAAAAGAGAGAGAGCAAGCAAGAAAGCGCCCTCATGGGACACAGTCACACTGCAACCCCTTCTCCTCCATTCTTCCCTCCTGTTGAGATTTTGGGCATGCATACACATGTGTCTAGTGTGATTTTTCAAGCTGCCAGGTCCAGGACATGAACTGCAGTCAGTCCAGTACCTTAACCACTATAGCACAACATATGGTGTGTCTTTCAAGCCACCAGGTCCAGGACTCAAACCATGTGGTCAGCGATATAGGATCGAGCTTCCCCAACCACCCAGCCATATGGCTGGCCCCAGTTTACCCAACTTTTTGTTGTTGTTGTTGTTTTTGTTTTTGAGAGGTTTTCGCTATAGGGCACGTGCGCTCGCCAGCCAGACAGAGACAGAGACAGAAAGCGAGAAATCACCCCCAGGGGGGATGGCCACGCCGCAATCCCTTCTCCTCCATTCTCCTCTTGGGATCTTAAGCACACACACACACGCGTCCGGCATGAGTTTTAAGCTACCGGGTCCGGGACGTGAACCGCAGTCGACTACGTGGGAGTCCAGCAACATAGCCATTACGCTAACTGCTGGTTCTCCGGTTTACACAACTTTTAAAACAATGAAGTGAAGACTTGAACCAAAGTCCTCTGACAAAAATTCCATGCTACCACCTCTTAGATGTTTTTTTTTTCCTATTATGCCTATAAAATAAAACAACCTTGACAGTGAATAAGCTAAGAACACTACTCAGAGCCTATTAATGAGTAATAACATTTTCCCAAATTACAAGTATTGTCAAATGTAAATGCAAAGAATGAACTGACAGGCTAAAAACAGAGGCCCATAATAGAGACTAGCAGAAAGTATAATGGTTACATGACTGGACTCCCACATAGTCGACCACGGTTCGAGTCCCAAACGTGGCAGTTTAAACCTCACGCCTGGTATGTGCACATGTGTGTCCAAAATCCCAAGAGGAGAATGGAGGAGAAGGGACTGCAGCATGGCCATCCCCTCTGGGGGCTGATTTCTTGCTTTCTGTCTCTGTCTCTCTGGCAAGTGCATGTGCCCCACAACAAAAATCCTTTAGAAAAAAAGTTTAACAAAGTGAGGCAACAGGCAGCTGAGTCAATGGTGTCAAGTGAAAATGTTAGAAAGATCTGAGCAGTTTTCGCCATGCAAATGGTTCTCCCCTTCTTCTTCAGTTGCTATATCCAGGTAAGGACTTTCCTCCTAGAGGACAGAGCTTTGTAAGTGTCCAGGAGAGCAAACTAGACAGGTTAGCAGTGTCCGTAGCAGAAACTGAGTTGGGAAGGTTGGGAAACACTTAACACAGAGAATGACGGAGAAATCCCAGACACACTAACCAAGGCAAAAATGAAGTAAAAGTAGAGACACCATGGAGCACCTTAGATAAATTTTAATGATGTATTTTCTATGTGACATGATGTTGCTTCGCCACATGCAGCGTGTCTCCAAAGCTTTGTCACCTCTTTCCTCAGTGGCCAGCCCTATCTCCTGTTGCGTTGGAAGGACTGCTCGATTTGACTGTGAGGCCATCCACCCAGGTCAACAATGTGCTGAGGAGGCCTTCAGAGTGGTCCTGCAGAGGACATGTCCTTTAAGTGTCTGAGAGCTGGCGGAAGTAATCTGAAAGAAAACCAGTCAGAAGAAGGCAAATTGATCAGACTGCACCACACTTAATGCGGAGCCTCAGAGGAGAGGCCACCAAAAGGAATCTGAGGGAGGTGACAGGACAACAGAGACTGTGTGATTCCTGTGTACCCCCAATCCTGGAAGAAGACTGATGAATAACAGTGCTCCCCTATAATTATGAAGTCAAAAATGGGTCAGTCTCAAATAGCCACTTCTTCCTTTTCTCTGAGATGGTTCCTCCCCAGCTCTAAACACATAGTCCAGGTGTGGGCTGCCCTCTAAGCCCAGGGATGAGCTGTGACACAGGCTGGGCCAGTCAAATCCTTCCTTGGGACATTTATGCTCAAAATGTGAAGAAAAGGGTTCTCTTTCCTCTCCTCTCTCATCCTGAGAGGCTAGGACTCCAAAGGACTAATGGTCACATTTCTTACCATAAGAACAAGTCAGCCCACTAGTAAATATTTCTGAGTGTTTATTATGTTCCAGGAATTGCTTTAGATGCTGGAGATAGAGAGATGAACAGAACACATATTTTCCCTGACTTTACAGGAGCTTTCAGGAAAAGATAGAGAGTATGTAAAATAAATTAAAACAATTTTGGACACTGGAAAGGGCTATGAAGACAAAAATAGTTATTGCCATAAATGGTGATGAGAGGAAGTCAGGGAAAGATGCTTCAGAATTACAATGTCCAGTGAAGGTCTCCCCAGAAGGTGATATTTGAAAAGTTAAAAAGGCAGTCAGGCAAAGACCAAAAGCCTTCTAAGCAAGAAAGTCCCTGAGGAGTCAGCCAATGGCATGGTGGTTAAGATAGTTGGATCCTGCCTGGCTGACTACACAGCTCAAATCCTGGACCTAGCAGCTGGAGAAATGTACCAGGCACATGTGTGTGCATGCCCAAAATCTCACAAGAAGAACTGAGGAGAAGTGACTGTGGCATAGCCATTTCCCTGAGAGATGCTTTCTCAATTTTTCTCTCTCTGTGTGTCTGGAGAGCACATATACCCTGTAACAAATTTAAAAAGAAAACAAAAAAGAAAGTCCCAGGGCCAGCAGGTGGCATAGTGGTTACAACAATGAATTCCCACATGGCCAAATATGGTCTAAGTCCTAGACCTGGCGACTTAAAAATCACACCAGGTGCATGTGCACACATGCCAAAAATCCCAGAAGAACAGAGAAGAGATTGCAGCATGGCCATTCCCCTGGGGAGTGATTTCTCACTTTCCCTCTCAGAGTCTCTCTCTCCATCACACACATGTGCCCTATCGCAAAAACCTTTTTTTGTTTTGTTTTGTTTTGGGTTTTTTTTGGAGAGATTTTCACTGTAGGGCGCATGCGCTCGCCAGACAGACAGAGAGAGACATAGAGACAGAAAGCAAGAACTCACCCCCCAGGGGGGATGGTCACGCCACAATCCCCTCTCCTCCATTCTCCTCTCGGGATCTTGGGCACGCACACACACGCGCCCAGCGTGAGTTTTAAGCCACCGGGTCCGGGACACGAACCGCGGTCGACTACGTGGGAGTCCAGCGACATAGCCATTACACTAACTGCTGGATCCCGCAAAAACCTTTTTTAAAAAGTAAGAAAAAGAAAATCCTGGGACCAGCAGTTAACGTAATGGCTATGTCGCTGGACTCCCACGTAGTCGACCAGTTCGAATC